AATTTTTAGCAAAAATAATGAAGTACTAGTTGTGTATTTTTGTTATTTTTTTCTTTAGATATAATGTCTATTTATTTTAATTGTGTGTTTTTATTTTTAAGTCAAATCAGTTAAAAAAATGGCTACAACTCCATTGTTTTACCAAATTAAAAGGTATAGCCAAAATAATGAACTTGCAATTGTACACTCTTTTTATTTTGATGCAATGACTATTTATTTCAACTGTGTATTTTTACTTTTTCCGATAATATCTGTAAAAAAAATATATTTTAGAGCTCCATAATTTAGATCTATATAAAACATTATAGCCAAAACAATAAAAATCAAACTATGTATTTTTTTATATCTTTTTAGATACTTTGACTATTTATTTTAACTGTATAAATCTTTATTTTCATGTCAAATTCAAGAAACAATAACTAAAAATTTATTATTTTTAGCCAAATAAAAAATATTAGCCTAAATAATGTAGTTCTAGCCAAGTTTTATTATAAATATTATTCGAAAAAGATTATCTAAAATAGTAGCACACTTAAAAAGGTATAAAATATATTTTATTTTTCAAAAAATGCCACATGTACTGGAAAATTCACGTGGCAGGCGAGTACATGTCATTTTCCTAGGATGAGATCGCCCAACGGGGTAACAGCTATCGAATAACCAAGTATAAGGGAGGGGGGTAATTAAGACCACGAATAGTTCAAGGATGTAACCAAAAATACGTGCTAAGTTTAAGAGGGGTTTAATATATTTTGCCTTTAATCAATGGTTTGAAAAAGTTATACTGCTATTTTACTCCTTGTATCTTGGAGAAATTGCTTGTCAATCCCCAATTAGTAGATGATCATAACACTTCCCATCCTCATTATGATTGTTCAAAAAGGTTTTCTATCTCCTTGATATGAAATTTTAGCCTAAGATGACATAAGGTACCATAAATTTAAATTTAAAGGACTTTGATTTATTTATTGATAACGCAAAATTATAATTTAACTAGATACTGTAGACGGTTGTTATATTTCTCCTTAAATAATACGATTTCACTAGGCAAGTAAACTATATAAGTAAGGTACTGTGACAAAAAATCGTAGTTTCAACTGTCGGTTTTCTCATAGCTTATAATTATTTCTCCCGCATTTATTATTATTATTATTATTATTATTATTATTATTATTATTATTATTATTATTATATGTGTCTACAAGAAAAAAAAAAGAAAAAAAATATAATATCATTTTGTATTGAAGTATCCCTAAATTCCGACTAGTTATATTTAAAAACGAAAAAAAATAAACATGGTACACACACTAGTCACGAAATGTAACTCGTAGATAACTATTTAGATATTTAGAGAAGCTGAAATCAAATCAATTGAACAGTCAAATAGTCAAGAATATAAATGACATGGTAGTGTTTTTAATATTTTTTTTCTAGGCTATTTGGTGCATGGATAATTGTTAATATTAGAGGTTCTGTTCAATAATCGTCATAATTTTTTTCAACCATTTAAAAGGAAGAATTACACCTCTTGTCACTTGGCGTGAGTGCCCAATCTAAAATGGCCTAGATTTAAAGTCCTTACCCGATTTGGCTCAGGTTGTATAAAATTTGAAAGAAACTTTTCAGCCTTTAGCCCATTATTAAAGACACACTTCTAGGTTTTTTTTCTTTTCTTCTTTCTTCTTTCCCAGAATACTCAATCTCTCTCCACTCGCCTCTATATTCTTTCTCCCTCAGAATTATTTTGTACACACACATGTTTATTGCTCTTGAGCACAAGGGCTCTTTAATCCTCACATTCTATGTTAATAAAGTTTTGAATTTTGAGTTAATTGATGAAAGAAGGTTAAGGAACCATAATAAATTTGGCCTATCAGTCCAAAAACTATTAGATCTGGCCTAAAACTATCAGATTTTGCCTAAAGGAGCATCTCCGACGACTTCGTCTCATATTTTCTTTTCTTTTTTTGCCCTCAGTTTTTGTATCATTATTTGCTACTGGTGAAGCCCAGATTTGAATGCCAAAACCTCGCCGGAAAAATTCAACAACAGCAACCACCCAAAGTTGCAATGTAGTGAGGGACAAAAGGTATTTTCTAGTGTAAATGTTGTATGGGTAATGTTTATACATACTTATATAATATTGTATAAATATGTATAAGCGTGTATATTTGCGTACGATGCAGTATAAATTATCTATGTATTTAATGTAATAAGTGTGTATATACATTGTACGTGTATAATAGGCATCCATGGAAGTTTAACACTTTCTTCTCTTTTTCTTCTTTGTCTTATTTTTCTGGTATACATTATTAGAGATTGTATATACAAGTTTATACAAAGTTATACATAACTATACATGTAAAGCACATGTGCAGTTAAATCTAAAATTGAAAATTTCATATGTTCAATTTTTATTTTTCTCGAACAATCTATGTATAAATCGACTTTCCTTGTTGATTTATCTCTCAAATCATGTGCAACAAGTTTTTCAATTTTTATTTTTATTTCTGCTATTTGGAACTTGAAAAAGAAGAAAATTTAACGTTTTCGAGTTGCATTATATATTAATTTGCTTTTTTTGTAGATGGAATATGAATATATACAAACTTGAGGAAGAAGAATAAAAAATCACCCAATTTTCGTGCTTGAAGATCTGTTGAATAAAAAAATAATAAGAAAAATGCTCATTTTTCGAACTTTGGCCTATTGTTAATGGGCTACAGATTTGCAAAGTTGTAACTGGGTTATTCTACTGCAATATATGTGGGTGGACTGTATTTTTGTATAATTCTCCCCATTTAAAACCTGTCGCTATACCTTTTCCCGTGTAAAAGAAAATTAAGAATAATCTCTCTCTGCCTCAATTCCACTTACCGCTTGTTTGGATGGTTGTTACCTATTGTATCGTATCGTGTTGTTACTTTAAATACAATATTTGTTTTGATTGTTACTTAAATTTTATTGTATCGTATTATTAAATCCATCGTTACGTAACGATGAAAAGTGTCACTTTATGAAACTACGAATTTGGTGTGGTGGCGTTGTTTCTTTACTTTTTTCTTTCATCTTGCCCTTCCTTATTATTAAATAATTATATTTTATCATTTACCCTACTTTTTTATATAATAATTCTATTCCGTATCCTAGTTTTTTTTATATAATATTATAAGTTTATTCTTCGTATTGTTAGTGCGTGACATCATGAAATGACGACAAACGATACAATCTATCTAAACATTGTGTTCATCAAACAATACAGTACAATACAATACGATGCATTATAAAAAATATATATATAACAACAATCTAATCAAACTATTAAGAGTCTCCGTCTCGTTCACTAATTCAGCCGCCCCGGGCCCATGGCCACCCAATTGAAGACCCTCAAACTCGTGATTGGATGATAATTAAATAGTAATCGTGGACCAACCACAACGACGACCATACCAAACAAAAATAAAAGAAAAAAATTTAACGAACTACCAAACATCCGTTAATAAAATTCCAACATTATCACTCCCAAAAATAGTTCTAATATGTGCTAAAAGATTCACTTTTACTTGACATGTATAGTAAAAATAGATTTTTATTTTTACTTGTCACTTTACGCATATCAAGAGAATACAATTTTTTTTCTTGTTATACCCATAGTATTTATTACTCATTTCAAATCATTTTCTCAAATCCAATAAAATATGCATCAATTAATATGAGTATCATGATAAATTATCCACTTTATTTATTATTTTTTAAGGGACGTGAAGAGTCAAAACGTGCCAAATAAAAGTGAACGGAGGGGGTATTTTTTCCCCTTGAATTTCATAAGTATTTAGTTAAAAAGAAATAACAGTAATCATGGACCAACCACAACTAGGGGTGTACATGGACCGGGTTGGTTCGATTTTTATGAAAACCAAACCAAACCAATTATATCGGTTTGGATTGGTTCGGTTTTGTCGGATTTTTTATTACTTAAATGTTATTTCAATCTTACTTTGTTAAATTTTTTTATAAGTAAATATATGTTTAGTAAAAATTTAAACAATTGTAAACATATTATCTATTAAAATATTCTTAGAGGAGAATTTTCTTAGTAACACATTATAGTTAAATTTTAGTCATCTGACAATAATTTTTCGTTGATGTACAGTTTCAAGATTAACCGAATTTAGTAATTAAACAAAAAAATTAATATGATACCTAAATAATAATAACCACTTCAAATTCGAAAAAGATATAAGAATTTAATAAATATTAACATATGAATATGGACGAACAAAGAGATTGACGCATTTCAGTAACACTTGATAAGAAAGTGATCATACAACCCATTATATAAGGTTATTAAATATGGAGCACTTTATATTCTATTATACTATCTCATAAGAGAATCCCAAATATTTATAGACATTTTAAAAGAAAATTCTATATAAAATCTTAAAAGTATATATAAAAATTAATATATTTATATATCGATTTGGTTCGGGTTTTTTTATTCAATACCAAACCAAATCAAACCAAATCTAGTCGGGGTTTTTAATCGGTTTGATTTGACTTTTCGGTTTGGTACGATTTTCCGGTTCGGTTTGTACACCCCTAATCACAACAACGTATACCATTCAAATATTTGATTTGAGTCATGAAAATATTTTTTTTATAATACTCAGTCCGTCCCGATTTATGTGGCAGTCTGCTAATTTCAAAAGTCAAGCAAGTTTATTTTGACTGTGAACTCAGATATAAATTCTTTAAATTTTTTAAAATAAATTTTATATATTTAGAAAAATTATGATTAAAAATTAAATTTATTTAATTTTCAAAATTCAAATACTACCGCACCAATTCAAATTAATTAAATTCTTATACAAATACCTAACACCATTGAAAAACCATTTTTAAAAAAGAAAACGACATACCAAACCAAATAACGGAAGCGCCAAACATCGGTTAATCAAATTCCAATATTTTTATTCCCAAAAAGGAAAATAAAGGATTGGGATATTTTCTCTTTGGCTCTCCCTCCTCCACTCTCTAATAGCTGTCCCTCATCCTCAACTTTCCTTTCTTCATGCGAAGCTGAATTGAGCTCCATTTTCTCCTTCACCTCAGGAGCATTTTTTACCATGGCGAAAACCCTAATTTCATCGCCGTCGTTCATCGGAACTCCTTTGCCGTCGTTCTCTCGCCATATCTTCCACCGGCGAAGGCTTATTTCAGCTAGAGTGAAATTCAGCTTCCATGAGCTTCCTCCGATTCAATCTCTTCACTCTTCTTTCGATTTCAACGCTGTTATTAGCCGAGCCGAAGGACTTCTCTATACGTTAGCTGATGCCGCTGTGGCTGCTGATCCTGGTGTTGCCTCCGATGCCACTGCTGCTACTCCTCAGAAACCCGGTGGTTGGTTCGCTTTCATTTCTGACGCTATGGAAGTCGTTTTGAAGGTTAAATTCCGTTTTCAGTTTTACTTAACATAGTTTCGAGCTAATTCTGATCATTGTTACGATTTTTATTTTTATCTTCCTTTTCTGGACTCTATAATGCGTCCAGCATATTCATAATAACGATTTCACTTGCTGCCTTATGTATCTATTTCATGTTTATATAGTTTTCAAAGTTTAGGTCTTACTAGTGTTAGATTGGCATCATTTTTCCTAGTTTTAACTTAATTATAATTATCAATTACTTTATCCGCATAATTGTTGTTTGTGTTTATCGTTATTACTCTTTTTTTTTTCTCTTATTACGGGTTGTTTGGGCCAACTTGCACGCAACTCGAATATTTCACTGTGTCCTTTGCAGTTAAAATCTTCTTTTAACTTATTTTGCTTTTAGCCTTTGATAACACTGGAAGGGAACTAAACTTAATTTTGGATTTTTTCTACCTATTGAAAGACTCTATTAGCTCTTGTCATTTTTCCTGTTGACACAAGTCGATAACCAGATTTTTCCCTAACCAACCAGATTTTAGCTTCTGCCCCCTTCCTCCCAAAAAAGATAGGAAATTAGACGAAGCTGAAGAAATGTTATATAGGACAACAGGTTGGTTGTCTTCACTACATGGCGAAGTACAAGTACTGCAGCTTATTTTGTTTCAGTTTTAGATAGACTGTTTTTAGGTTTTAGTTTTAGAGAGATCGTCTTCTTACGAACTGGTATTTGATGTCGTCACGTACTCTATATTCACATCATTCACTTTGCTTTTTTCAGGTAATGAAGGATGGACTGGCAGCTGTGCATGTGCCTTATTCTTATGGATTTGCAATCATATTGCTTACTGTCCTGGTTAAAGCTGTCACTTTCCCTTTGACAAAGCAACAGGTGAGCCTGTGCTGACTTGCTGCTTGACCTTGATATTTAAGAGTTGGTCTGGTATTTCAGGTCTTGCCGCTTAGTTACGTCTGTCTAGTATTAAAAATAGTGCAATGGTGATGAGAAATTGAGAATTGAATCTTTTGTCGAACTCAACAAGAGTCCCCTGCTCCTTTGTTCCTCATTAATCTTTAAATCTGTATTGCAATGGAATTGTTGCTGATGTATGATATTATGTCTTTTGAAAGGTTGAATCAACACTAGCAATGCAAAATCTCCAACCAAAGATCAAAGCTATTCAGCAACGATATGCTGGAAATCAGGTGAGTTAAATTCTTGTCAATTGATACTTTCTGTTTCATCTAAACTGCTCTTCAGAACCGTATGACCTTCTAAAACTTGAGCTATGTATTAAAGATTCTTTGGTACTTAGTACTGTGAAAAAGAGTGAAGTATGAGCAATTGACAGTGTAACCATTACAACTTGTTTGTTAGATTTCATCTTAATTTGGTAAGATTAAAGCTTTTATTTATTTTTTTAGAGTTTTTTATTTTGTATGGTTATAGTATTGCTTTACTTATCAAAAGAAAGAAAAGCATTGCGTGTGGTGATCAAAAATTCGTTCAATAAAAGGAGTATTTCTATTGTCGTGAAGCTATTGCTGTAGAATTATGATTAATGTTGTGCCTTTTCATATCGAGTCCAGCAAACAGAACTTACATCTATAAATATTTTTTTAATTCAGGAAAGAATCCAACTTGAGACTTCGCGTTTATATAAGCAGGCAGGGGTCAATCCTCTTGCTGGTAATTCTTCATTCTAGCAGTCAGCTCTCTCTCTTTTAATTATGCTTCCATTTACCATTTCTGTTTATCTTCTTAGTTGGTTTAAAGCATTGGGCATATATGTTGAAAGGAACTCACCGTGACTTTTCTCTCCTGGCTAGTAGTGAATCGCAAATCATATCTCAGTGAATTAATAGCCATTTAATCAGTTAAAGAATTACATATTTTCTCATTCACATTCTGTTCCTCTATGGTCTAGGTTTTCATTTTTTGTTCTAGTACATCTTAGAACTGGGTTGCCCAGTGACATTTTTCCATCCAAAATTTGTTTGAACTGGATTTCAGTTCTATTCCTTTTCAATCTTTGATATCTATGGCATCTGAAGTTGTCATTAAGTTAGTTCCTCATCCGTAGCGCTCACTTGATTTTTTTTTTCAACACACTCACGTGCTCGACTTCCTTTTTTTTGGATATGTATGAAATTTTATTCCATTGAAGGTGCATACAAAAACTCAGTTGCCACTTATAAATGTAGGGAACTGAGGAACGTCTACATTTAGCATGTTACACCAAAAAGCGAGAAGTACAAACATTAGTATTTGTGACTATTTACAGACACAACATTGTCCTAAATACATCTTTGATTCTCTCTAGCCAAAGTACCCAAAAATACTTGCTGGAATGGTGAATCAACATCTTCCTGTCCTCCAGTTTTTCTCCCTGGCCAATGCAGCACTCACTCTATCAACTAATAATGCTTCTTTCAGTGAAGGAAGAACTTTGAGATAGTGAATTGAGTCGAGCTAAGTGTGTAACGTTTGACTTAGTTTATGCAATGGTTAGGGAAGCATAGATGATCACGGACGCCCAAACTAGTTCCACAATACCAGAGAACACTGCTCTATGACCTTAAATTTGCTTTATAATATTTTGGTTAATATTTACTTCCAATAATGTGTTTCATTTCATGTTTAACTTCAAATGACAAATATTAACTTTAAGGTATAGTCAACCTCCTCTTTCCTGTGTATCCTAGCGATATTCCTTTGAGGCCATGAGTTGTAAAAGAAGAAAGGGCTCCTAACTACTTAACAACCTGGGTAAGTTTTCAGGTGCATTGTCCTATGAGCTGTCTGGCCAATAGCTGTACTGAAGTGGTTATAAATGGCATCAGAGGTTTCAACTTTGTGCCCGAGAGTTTAAAACTGATGTGGATACCTATTAAAAAGGCCTTATGTGAATACCAAAATTCTAAAATACATGATGAGTTGAGAGATTCACTCAATTACTATGCTTTTTAGTTGCGACAGAGAGTCACTAGAGTTAAGATATGCTGTCAAATGTGCATTGATTTGAAGGTTAACTGCATCATCAAAAGACTGGTTGTAGCATAAATAAACCTCCATAAGGTTAATGAATTCATAAGTTTAACCCACTACAATATAAAAACTACAATTGGTTTGACATACGCAAATTGCAGCACATCAACTAACTGCAGATGTCAATGCCAGTTAATAAGTGACCATGCCATAAAGTAATAATGAGCGCTTTGAGCTTCTATATGGTTTGGATGTATAATTCGTTCCATGTTAAGTTTAGATTCCAGGTAAAGAATATTGGAAGTTCTTGTACTTCCATTGTGGTTATCTATTTATTTATTTATTTATTTATTTTGTGGCTACACGATAACAGGATGTTTTCCAACTTTGGCTACTATACCAGTTTGGATTGGTCTCTATCAAGCTCTCTCTAATGTGGCAAATGAGGTATAAAAGAAGTTAATATTATCGTACGTTCTTACTCATTGATTTAAATAATGAGTTTATTTACTTTTTTTGCTTTCTGAAAAGGGATTGCTGACTGAAGGTTTCTTTTGGATTCCTTCTTTGGGAGGACCGACTACTATAGCTGCTCGACAAAGTGGATCTGGAGTTTCTTGGCTATTCCCGTTTGTGGTCAGTGTCATAACCTGATACACATTCTGAGTAATCTTCCTAATCACAAAAAAGTTGGGGCATTTGCCCCCTTTTCATCTCACCCAACTGATTTTCTTTTGAGCGCTTGTGCTCAAAAGATAAATCTGCTAGTAATATCAAGTACATTTTAGTGTAACTGCGGACATAAAAATCTGTTGACTTTTTCCTTCTCAAAAAATAAATCTGTTGACTTTTTCAGGATGGGCATCCGCCTTTGGGTTGGCATGACACAGTGGCTTACCTTGTTTTGCCTGTCCTGCTAATTATTTCGCAATATGTTTCAATGGAGATAATGAAACCTCCCCAAGTACGAACTTGAGTTTATGTTTCAGCTAAGTTCCTTCTGTTCTTAGTATTTGAGTGCATCTGTCATGTTATTCTGAAATCCTTGAAATCTCTTCGTAGACAGATGATCCAACTCAAAAGAACACGCTTCTGGTTTTCAAGTTCCTTCCGCTCATGATTGGCTATTTCTCTTTGTCTGTTCCTTCAGGGTTAACAATTTACTGGTGAGCTCTTAGTTAAAGTAATTACGTATTATTACCTCTGATATAGAATTATGGTTTTGGTCTTAGACAAATATAGGATCAAATAAACACCCCGGTGTGAATTATTATTTTTATAAATGACAACTACGTAAATCTGCACATCTTGATTAAAAAACTACGTACGTCTGCACATAAATAAAGTGAAACTTGCCATTCACTTGTTACCAGTGATTATATCACTGTGATTAAGGGCAGAGGATAAAGAAATTTAGTTGCGCCTTTATGCACCAATATGTATCCTCTTACTGCCTGGGCTCTTTCAAACTTACCGGTTAAAAGACATGTCAAAACAATTTCTCGATATCTCTTATGTTTGCTTTTCTTTTAAGTTCTCTCTTGTCACTGGGGCAACAACTGACAAATTATCATGCTTCCCCTTCTTATCTTTCTTAACTCAACAATAGATTTGTGTTTTGGATATTTTTATCAATTAAACAAGATAGTTCTTAACTTGCACCTTTTATGTTGAATTTCAAGGTTCACAAATAATGTGCTGACCACGGCACAGCAAGTATGGTTGCGCAAGTTAGGTGGTGCAAAGCCTGTTGTGAGTGGAGATGCTAGTGGTATCATCAGCGCTGGACGTGCAAAAAGAACTACCTCTCAGTCTGAGCAAGCTGGAGAGAGGTGTGTGTAATATTTAAAAGTTACTCTACTTGTACAATGCCTGTTTAGCTAACGAGAAAGTTTATGGAGACAGATTCAGGCAGCTAAAAGAAGATGAAAAGAAGAAAAAGTCAACCAAGGCACTCCCTACAGATAAGGTTGAAATATCAGCCTCTACATCTGATTCCGAGGACGAAGCAGATGATGAGACCAAGCCCAAGGTAAACATCAAAGTATTTTTTGTGCATTTGATCTCGACTGTCAAAGTTCATTTGACACATGTTTGTATAATTAAAAATCAGTTGTTAGTCAGGCGATGAGTAAGAAGTGGCATGTCCAAGGACAATAAAAGACATGGAAGGCCTCAGGCCTAATAAGGCACGATGATTTATTGCATTATAAAAGTTTTTTATCTGGAAGTACAATCCTTCCTTTTCATTTATGATGCAAGCCCGTTTTCCATGTAATAAAGATGTGAATTTGTAGTCCTTTACCTGCACTTGGTCATGGTTGGTAATCATGGTATCTCGATACACAGCTACGCTACTCATACACCCCATTATGCCAGCCAAACCAAAGAACAATTGTGTGAGAGAGAGATGAAATACTACCCGATAAAGAAGAACAAAAGAAAGAGGGAGATTCACATTGTGAGAGTTGGAAAGGATCATGGTTTGTTTTTCTTATCACCTCTCAAGTTGATCTTCTTTTATTGTTTTAGGGAGCTGGACTACATTGTTTGAGCTCGGAAATGACGTATATTGAAAAAATGTTACTACAAACCCTTACGCAAACACTATTAGACAAAAATTGCATTGTGATGATTACATAGAATTGTTTTTACGGTTAAGGGTTTTGTCGAGGTGCGCAAGCTGTCCAGACACCGCGGTTATTAGAAAAACATAGTTGTGTTTTTGTATCTTTTTGCTGTCTGATAATAGATTTTCTCCATTCGATTGGAGTTTGTTTTTATTTAGGGGTGTCTTGACTCCCCTAATTATTCTTATTTTATTTTATTTTATTTTGATAATCGTAGTGTCCTGTCCCAGCTTGCGCACCTCGACTCCTCTAATCATTAAAACCAGTGATTCTGCTTTTCAGTAAATTGAAGTGCATGAAGACATGTCTGCTCTAGATTTTTGGTCTAATATGTATTCCATTATACATGCCAATTTTCAGTGTTTCCCTATAGATTTCTGTCTATTTTTGGTAATATGTTTGCTCGAGAGGAAGCGGTTGACGAAAGAACAATCTGAAAATTCTATGCCACTGGTCTTCTAAATAATTTCTTTTCTATGTATCTCACGCAAGGAGAGTACTCAAAAATGCAATTTTTTATCAATAATCTTGCGCAAAAATTCATACTGATTGGTTATGCGATCAGGCTGTAAGGGCTATGGACTTCACTCAGAGACTAGAGATATATGCATACGCAATTCTAGGCTCATGGATACTTAAGTTGCTCTGAAACAATTCAATATCTTTATTTTTTCAGTTCAAAGAAGAGGGAAAAGAATAACTTCTTTGTACCCCGAAAATGAATTGTTTTGTTTGATGCTGCCTGGCAAACTATTAATTTTCTATTTGAAGACACTGTTATGAGTTTGAGCTTATAGACTTGATAAATATTGACTGCAGGATGAAGAAGTTCTAGAAGAGGCTTATGCTTCTAGCAGTAGTAAAGAAGTTCCAAATTACTCAGGTCCAAGGAAGAGTAAAAGATCAAAAAGGAAGCGTGCAGTATAAAGTGGTAAACCAATTCTTTAGCTGTCAGTTTAACTTGTATATTTGACAAATCTGTATCTTAGTCGGTTGTATAGTGGCCATTTTCATGCCGGTCATCTATTTAAGGGCTATTTGCCAAAAGATGAGAACATGACAAGTATGCAAATGGTGAATTCACGTGCTTTCAAGTTTAAGCACCAACTTAGCAAGCAAAAGCTAAATCTACCATATTCCCTTCATGCGTAGCATGTGGGCTTTCTTGTATCAATTCTCCTGCAAACAAAAACCATAGCTTCAGCCGACAATAAGTGTGTTAGATGTGAGGTTTATCAAAGCCTGCAGTATGGTGATAACACGATAGAATCTTAAGCACTGGGCCAAAGGTTTCCTCTATTCCTCATTAGTTACCATAATCTTCACCCTGGCCTCTGCATCAATGATGCCTGCATACGGAAGTTGTTTTCTTTGCTTACAAGGTTAGTCTGCTTTCATAGTAGCTTGGGTTTGAGTTAGTTTTCATAAATGAGCTTTGGTTTGAGTACCAGCTTATACAAAATTCTTTCATTTTGTTGACATTTGAAAGTGTCCTGTAGAATTAATAACTTTTTCAAAATTTACTGAATTAAATTTGATAATTACGAATTGAAAATATTAGTTAGCAGTGAGCACATCAGAAATGGAGCAGCAAGCACTTTAGACTAGATGAGCATTACTCTTCTGATCACTTAGTTGGTGAAGGATAATGAAATTCCAATCCAAAGATATCCCACTGTTTGTACAAATACAATGGCCTAAATATAAAATCTTCTAACTACTTATTACATATATTCTAACATCCAACTCTAAATAAATTTTATGTTCTCGTACTGCTAGCTCGTTCTTCTGGTCATGGCCTTGATGGTGCGGGATGATTGCTAGTTGGGTTTGGCCCAGTGGTGGTGTATGGACCTGTGTGTTGCCCTGCTTCACAACGGTTTGATTAGAGACTACACGCATAAACTATAGCAGAAGAGAGACAACATACTTTAGTTGGCAATTTAGCTTGTATATTTGATAAATCTGTATCTTAGTCTGTGTATAGTGGCCATTTTCATGCCGGTCAGCTATTTAAGGACTGTTTGCTAAATGAAGAAAGCCTGATGAGCTGGCAAAATTTTTCGGATTTATTCAGGCTCTTTCAAGTGTAACCACGAGCTTAGCTAAGAAAAGCTGAATTATACCATATTCTTTAATGTGTAGCATGGGGCTTTATTGTCGCAATTATCATACAAATATTAACCACGACCTGAGCGAGCACTAGTGTGTTCTGATGAGAGGATGCATCAAAGTTTGCAGTAAGGCGGTGGCACCACAGAATTTTAAGCAGCTGGCCCAAGGTTTCCAATATTTTCCTCACTAGTCATTACCATAATGTTCATCCGTACCTCTGCATTACTGATGCTAGTACGCGACTTGTTCTTTTGTGACCTACAAGATTAGTTTGCTTTCCTAGGAGCTTGGGCTTGAGTTGGTCTTCAATAAATGAGCTTCGATTTCAGTACCTGCTTACTCAAAACTGTCTTGATCTTGTTAGATTTGAGAATGACCTCTGGGATTTTTACTTCTAGATTTTGATAGTTGTTAAACTAGATTTTGATAGTTGTAAATTGATAATGTTATTTGCGGTGCACCCAAGGGTGTGGACTTGTGGTCAATGAAGTGGGTGAGAACCATGAGGTCTCAGGTTCAAATCCCAGCGGAGTCAAATACTAAGTGATTTCTTCTCATCTATCCAAGTTTTGGTGGATAGAGTTACCTGGTACCTGTTGCTGGTGGGAGATGGACGGTATCCCGTGGAATTAGTCGAGTTGCGCAAGCTGGCCCGGACACCACGGTTATCAAAAAAAAAAAATGTTATTTGCAGGAGCATATCAGGAGTGAAGTAGTAAGGTCTTTAGATTAGATAAACATCACTCTTCTGGACCCTTTAGTAAATAAAGGAGAATGTAATTCCAATCTCAAAGGAACACCACGGTTATCAAAAAAAAAAAAAAAAAAAAAAAAAAAAAAAAAAAAAAAAAAAAAAATGTTATTTGCAGTCGAGCATATTAGGAGTGAAGTAGTAAGGTCTTTAGATTAGATAAACACCACTCTTCCACACCGTTTAGTAAATAAAGGAGAATGTAATTCCAATCTTTAAGGATATCCCACTGTTTGTGCAAATACAATAGCCTAAAGATGAAATCGTCTAAGTACTGCACATATGTCTAACCTCCAATTATACGGCTAGCTCATTCTTCTGTTCATGGCTTGATGGTAGACGATGATTTCCTGTTGGGTTTGGCCCTTGATGGTGGACGATGATTTCCAGTTGGGTTTGGCCCAGATGGTGATTTATAAATCTTCGCATACTTGCCCTGCTTCAGAATAGTTTGATTAGAGAATACATGTATAAAACACTGGGGAATAGAAACTCCATATTACGAGACTTACCAAATTAGCAAGAATGTGTCCTCTTGTTGATCTCAAGGTGTAGAACAGTGAGCTTTTATTGGACTTAACTGCGATAAAGAAGCTAGAGTTTAGATCCATTGATATACTTGTTTACTAAAATCATGTAACTGCTTGGTGTAGGAAATCCTGGACTCAAAATAGATAAAACACGATTTGTTTCAGCTATTATATCATGAAAGAAGAAAATAGTGTATCACATTCATTCATTAGTCGCATTAGTAGTAACTTGCCTCCTTTTATAGCTTGAGCCATGGGGATGAAGTTATAATCATGTTGACATGCTGCCCATATTGTCCATATGAGAAGATGATAGAGAAGGAGCTCTGTTCTCTTCATCTTCAGCATTGGAAAGTTGAAGGTGTGGGTGCAGTAGAAGGTGAACTTATAAGTGGGAAATCATTTCCAATATAGGGGGAGATTTTAAGTAGCATATAATTGGTAATCATTACTAATCTTGAAAACAAGGAATGTTAGATAAGTTGCTGGGGTATCCTATGCCATTTTATGCAACAAGTGATAAGATCAGGAATCTGGCTCTCTTCATTGTGAATTGACTTCTTGCTCAGTTATCATTGTGTCCATGATGAAATACAAGTCATCGCATTATTCTTCCTTTTGAGTGCTCAACCATGTCATTGGCTTGTCTGCCTTTCCCCAAAACACATATTGCCTTTTTGTTTTTATTGGATAGTAGTCATTTATTACTATTGCATTTTCAATTTAAGCTAGGTAGGGATAAGATCTGCGTACACATCAGTGGCGAATCTAGAAATTTCTCCAAGGGTGTTCAAATTTAAAAGAAGTGAAAAATATTTCCGACAAAGGGTGTTCAATATGTGTTATATACCTCTAAAACATAATATTTTACCTATTTACACAGTGTAATTTTTTGACGAAGGGTGGTCAGTTGACAACCCTTGTGACCATGTGGCTTCGCCACTGGTACACACTACCCTCCCAAGACCCCAAGTATGGGAATATACTGGGTATGTTATTGTTGTTGCATTTTCAATTTAAGCTCCTGTTGCTGGGGTTAGAGGAGTTCTCTCATGCTTCGCGTCTCCTTCGGTCATTTGATCTCGGTCGCTTTATCCAATATATATATATATATNAAACATTAGCATAACACGTGAATTCAAAATGAAAGGACATCATCAAAATTTGCATAAATGATCAATTTAGTCATGTTAGTTTGATGATTATGCATTATAGTTTAAAAGTATTTAATATATTGGTATCTTACCAAACACTTCTTTGCAGACAATGTATTTTGTGTATGTTTCCTTTTAATGCTTTGGTTGCTCTGCAATAATCAGAACTCTTGTTGTCGATATTGATATCCCTTTTGAAAGTGCAACATATAGTTGTTCGTACAAAAAAATTACAATAAATATAGTCCAATATTTAGGATGTTATCCGTGTGATTTATTTATTATAATTGCAAAACATAAACATACTGAAAAAATTTCACACAAGTTTAAAAGGATATCTTTTAGTTTCAGGAGACAAAAGTTGAATTCGGGGATAAATACATACTTAGAAGCACATTGACCCGTATCATAATTTCTGCATGTATGACGTTATTGTAAAAACTTCTATGTACCATCTGTGTACTATCACATAAGCTATTCGGCGAATCTAAGTTTTTCAGTACCATGACAGACATATTTTTCTTCAAAATCAACTTATATGCAATGAAAGACTAATTTTAACTTAGTCTATTATATACATGGTGACACTGACATACGTAACAAATAATGAACTTGACAACAAACGTGTGTGGTGGAAGACCATTTGGTATTAAAGTATTTACATATTCTTCTTGATAGTAATTATTAGTATCATCTGATGCTGAGTCAAAAGTTAAAAAAAAAAAATTGTTTTTTGCCATAAAGCTTATAATCAACCTTTTATTTAGTTGATCAACATATTCATTTTTGCTAGCTAAAATATATAGCTCTTTAATTTCTATCATGTAATTTGCACAAATTGCATTTTAATCTAATGATGAAAATATTTCCCCTGTTAAATGCACTACTATTACCATCGCGGTTGATAACAAGTGTTCTGGAAGAACCAAATCATCTTTTATTGTATGCTCTTCTTCGTTTCCAATACGAAGCAAGAAGTCACTGAATGCTGGATCTGTTCTTACTTTTATATTTCTTGTCAGTTGAATCTTTTCCAATTGAGGCCATAAGTATAATTTTTGCAAGGTAGCTTTTAGAGGTTCTGCTTTTGTCGATTTCAGAACTACTTATAGTACTTGACAAAAATCACATCACAAACCATTACTTTTTCACCAAATGGTTCATTGATATCCAATGAATCTCTAAAACTCCGGTCAATTATTTCAATCGTTTGACGCTTAGCCATAAGTTTTTATCTCATATTACCAATTTTACTTTCCTTATAAATATAACACCATTGCTCTGCTTTGATATAGTTGTGATGGTTATGTTATTTGAATATGTATATTAAATTTAAAGTGAGTTGTACGACCTCATAATAAAATCGTAGTTACTATAACACTTGTTGTTATTGCTAACAGTATCATGCCTCTTGATTTGACATTTACAAGTAATGCATGACATAGGAATATTATTTCAGTTCCGCTGGAGAGATCAGATAATCCCGCTATACCTGAGTCGATTTTTTAAAATATAGTCTTGAAAGCTTGTTTTTGTGCAGGATTTAGCTTTGATTGTGCTTCCATAGATATTGTATGGCCTTTTGATTCTTAATACTATATTAACCTTTTTTACTTTGTGTTCTAATTTTTTTTTAATCTCTAACGCTCTTTTTATAGAATAAGTTTATGTATCTAAGAGTTTTTTTAACTTGAAAAATAATTTTACTCATGTGATAAATTTGAAAAATAACTAAATTGGATTTGCTAAATAATTAATTGAAAGATTTAAATATTTGGTCTTAACATAAAAAATAATTTATTTTACGTTGATTCAGATTCTTAATATTAGTTCATCTCATATTCTAAATAGTTAATCGTAATTATAATTTTATCCACCATACGTTTTTTTGTCAAAGAGAAACGATCGATATAACATTTCATTTTTAGATCTTTATGTATGTAGATCATTAGTGGTATTGACTCCTACAAACTATTTTTCTTTCTCTTTTTCATACATTTATATTTTTAAATATTTTCTTAGTTATTTTTTAAAAAATAATTGGTATATTTTTCAATATTACACGAAAAAATGATAATAAAAATATATTATTTGAGTAGGAAATCATCCTCACAAGGTAGGGGTAAGGTCTATATTAATCTCCCAGGCCCTAATATGTGAGATTATACTGGGTATGTTGTTGTTGAGTAGGAAAGCAGTTCAAATATAATATAAAAGTATATTATCACGGGAATATTTTTTTCTCAATTTCAACGCTTTATGTAGTCCTTTTAATATTGCTTTTTCTTCTTCTTGATATTGGATATTATAGAGTGGTAATGTATTGCCAATGCGAAGGATTCTTATAAAATTAATTTTATTAAACCTTTCTACATATTTTTAAAATTTAATAGAAAAAAGTTAATTAATTTTAAAATCTTATAATAATAAAAAGGTATTATAGTCCCAAAAAATAGGTTATTACAGTCATATCATTTTCCTATGAGTTCTTGTGTTTAATATTTTAGGGTTATTTTGGTTTATCAATATTATATTCGTACTTTTATAATAAATAAATAAATAAATAAATAGGCTCTTCTTTTTCTAAATAGAAT